ATCCAAATCTACCAATTCCCCTGTTCTTATGACTATGTTCTCTGTACAAATATCATTATGGGATCATCATGAAATTAGATTTAGGAAGTTGATATAAAATTCATTTATTTATGCTACAACTCATTATATTCCCACAGAAAATAACTAGATGTATATGTCTGATACCCCCTCCATTAAAAACAAAAATGACTTAGGGAGCTAGTATTTCTTGAAAGGCTAACAATATGCTACAAATTCATGGCTATATAGATTACATGAAATGCTATGTACTACATGATTAATAATGACTTGCATATAATAAATAGTAGGAAAAAGTAATAAGGATATGCATAACCAGGAAAGGGAGTAGGGAAATCATGCAGTGAAAGTGAGGGATGATAGATAGGCCAAGTGCTTTATTTCTATCTGTTAACTGTTTAAAGAACCATATTCTTGGGTCATATGACCAACAAGATGGAGGACTAAACATTTTTCCCCTTCCCTCACTGACTTTCAAAGACCCTGGCCAAAATAGGATTATGAGCCAGATATAGAGGCAACAGCAGTATCATAGAGAAGTAGCTGAACTTGGAGTTTACAAAGGCCTATTTCAAATATTTAATCTCTTTGTGACCCTTGGACAAGTCATCTCTTTGGGCCTCAGTTTCCTCCTCTGTCAAATTAAGGAGTTGGATGCAATGGCCTCTAGAATCTCTTCAACTATTGTAACCACGAACTACAACTTAGTCCACAAGGCAAGAAAGCAATAAACACAACAAAGTAAAAGGCTTATGAGTTAATACTGTAGAAGGCTTATCTTTGCCATGCTCATGAAGCACTCTTCCATCACCAATCTCCATGGTCTGACAGGAAATAAGGAACAGGCACATGGGCTTGTGGTAGAACATGCAGGATTCTTCTTTGACTGCAAACATTTGACAGCACATCCCACAGCTCATTTCCCCTCCAATCCCCTCCCCCTCCAAGCAGAAAACATATATTCTGCCCTTCCATACGAGGAGGTAGGGGATAGGTGGGATGATTGGACTATTTTCTGACTGGTGCCCACATGAAGGAATCCCAAAGCTACTGAGATTCTGTTCAGACAACCCACCACCCTCCAAGTCTGCAAAAAAGTGGCAGAACTTGACCAAGTTGGGCCAAAGAAGGAAAGCACCAGATCCAGTAAAAGGGCTAGGTCAGGTGGCCAGTATGATGCACTGTACCAGCTCTGTATAAAAAAAGGATTGAAATCCAGCTAGGGGACCAGACCATCTGCCCAGGAAATACTTAAATTTGAGCAAGTAAAACAGAAGGATAAACAAAAAGGAAAAGGTATCTAGTACTATGGCTAGCCAAGCACTGCTTATATGAGGTCTGTGGGGGCCAGTGATCTGCCACTTACATCTCTATGCTTTCTGTGTCTTCATGATTTGACCAGGTTCAGCTTGATGAGCCTAACCTCCAATAAGGGCAGTAGGCTCCTGATTTTAAATTATGAGCTCATACCCACATCCCAGTCATTCCAACTTCAATTCTATTTTTGTCTCACATCTAAAAGTTCTCCCCAGCAGATCAGGGAAGTAGGTACTTAGAGCATAAAATGGATCAAATGTGTGCTGGGGAGTTTTATTCCCACACAGAAAATGCAATGCTAAGCATTAGAGTATCACATTTATTAGAAGAGAATCGAGAAATGTATCATTGAAAATACAATCACATGAGAGGCTAATATTCAAGTCTTATGAAATTTTCTAACAATTTTCTTCGAGAGAGCTGCTAATTATCAATTTTCTATTTTACCTAATTTTCTATTTTACCTCCCATGAGCACAGTTTGATCAATGTCAAGTGGGTTCTTTCTATGCAGTGTTTTTCAGGTATTAGGAAGAGGAAGGCACCAGTTGCTTTTGAAGATCTCATAAAGCCCTCCATCAAAGGATATGAGACACAAAGCAGAACTGGCACTGTCCCAGGCACGTGCTTACTGAAGAAGCCATACGATCATGTTTCCCAGCTAGGGCGGGTGGATAGTATGAATTTAACCTAAACCTCTCCCAAAGCCAGAGATTCATCATGATACTATGAGGTCAGCAAGAAAAGTGAGCGTGAGGGGAAAGTATCACCCCTTTAGTATATTCCCAGAGTTCGAGCTCAGTAGTAAATTAAAAAAACTTTTTGGTACCACACAAATATGAACTCATGAATCACCATGGCCATTGGGAAGCAGGCAGAGAAAATCTGTACCCATTCTGAAGTAAGGGAAAGATGGAAGGGTCGCTCCATCACATATGCCAAGAAGAAGGCCCACCCCAAAGCTTCCTTTTGCTTGCATAGAAGACTCTAAAAGGTAGCAAAAGAAGGAAATAAATATTAAATTAAACAAATTATTGGGAAATTTAGACCTAAAAGATTTATGGTGAGCTTTATGAATGGGACCACTAAAGAATAGATTTATGTGTGTGTATATGAGAAATACACACACACATGCATGTATGCACATACATGCATATGTTTACATAATATGTGTGTATATATACATTTCTCAGAAAGATATTGAACTTTCATAAATATTGATCACATTTTAGACAACAGATAAGCTTCAAATAAATGTAAAATAACAGAAATACTAAAAAACCAACTTTATATACCATAGGACAATAAAATAGTAATCAATTCAGTAAGCCCAGACAAAAGACAGACATCTAAATGGAGACTTAAAAATAACAGCCTAAGATCAAGGAATAAATCATAAAAACAATTAATAACAATGTGAGAAACAATGATAAGGGTGAGCCAATATACCAAAATTTCTGTACTGTAATCCTTTGGGAAAGATTATGTATCTTAAAACATATATTAATAAATTGGCAAACTGGAAAAAATTAGAAAAAAAGGAAATAGAGGGTTAATGGACTTTTATGATAGTAAATAAACAAAGCCATGATTAGCAAAAGAAAACAGAAAATCATGAAAATTAAATAAATAGATTAATTGGAAAGAAAAAAATCTCTGGAACCAATAAACGAAGCTAAAAGTTGGTTCCTTAAAAGCCTTGGTTGTTATTCAGTTGTTGCTAATCACATCCAATTCTTTGCATTTTGGATTTTCTTGGTAGAGATATTGAACTGGTTTGCGATTTCCTTCTCCAACTCATTTTATAGATGAAGGAACTTAGGCAAATAGGGTTAAGTGACTTGCCCAGGGTCACACAGTTAGTATGTATCTGAAGCCAGCTTTGAACTCACAAAGTTGAGCCTTCCTGACTCCAGGCCTAGTACTCTTTTCTTCCCAGCATCTTCCTTACCTGCCCAGCTTGTTTTTGCCAAGCTTTTGCTTGAAAACAAAACCAAGAACAATATATAATATATATATATATATATATGCATGTATGTATATGTAATATATACATATATATACACACACATATATAGATATATTAACCAAACTAACATAAAGCCAACTAGAAATTATAAATTATCCAATCTCAGAAAAGAAAATGTAGCTTTTTTTTTTTACCAAAGTGGTGGCAGGGTGGATATAGTCTAGTCAAAATGTATTTACAAGAGGATTCTATCAAACTTTTTAAAGCTATGTTTTATTGCTATTTTTTTACATTGCCTAAAAGTTCCCCTCCTCCACCCAGCCAACCCATATAAAAAATTAAAATTTAAGAAAAAAAGAAATGCATTTTTTTTACATAAATGGACTCCTTGTCTCTGTAAAGGAGTGTGGGGATGATATTTTCTCATGTGTCTCTTCTTTAGGGCCGTGCTTGTTCTTTGTAATTTTGCAATTTTCATTTTCATCGTTTTTAGAGTTGTTGCTCTTTTCATTTACATTGCTATAGTCATAATATATATAATTTTATTGGCTCTGCTTACTTTACTTTCTATGGTTCATGTAATTCTATTCTTACTTCTCTTAATTTATCATAGCTGTTGTTTCTTAAAGCATAGTAATATTCCATTTCATTTGTGTACTACATTTTTCTATTCATTTCCCAAACAAACATATGGAAAAACAAATGAATGAATGAATAATAGCACCTACATCCCAGGGTTTTTGTGAGGATAAAATGAAATAATATTTGTGGAGCACTTAGCATAGTGCCTGACAGGCACTATATTAGGTAGTAGTAGTAGTAGTAGTAGTAGTAGTAGTAGTAGTAGTACTAGTAGTAGTAGTAGTAGTAGTAGTAGAGTAGTAGAGTGCTATATCATATCTAGCTATTATATTTATATTTAAGATGGTTATAAAATTATAAAAGTATGTATAATTATCATTATTAGCCTCATTTTACAAGAAAGAAACTGAGGTAGACAGAAGTAAAATGACTTGCCCAGGCTGGATTTAAAATCAAGTTTTTCCGACACCAGGCCTACCACTCTATACACTGGTTGGCTATTATTTCATTTGATCCTTCCAAAGGTCCTGGAAAGATCCATTTTATTATCCCCATTTTACAGTTGGAGGCATCCAGAGATTGTGACTTGCCCAAGGTCACATAAATAGAAAGTGCCTGAAGCAAAATTTGAATTCAGGTCTTCCTGAATCCAGGTCCAGCACTGTCTCCAATAATTTGTGCATGATGCCATGGTGTCATATTCAGATTTCAGACTCAGGTCTCCCTAATAATTTTAATCCTGTTTCTACTATACGACACAATCAAAAAGAATGACACCATCCAGAATGGATCCCTATATCATTTTTGGTTCATATCATCTGTGCATCTTTCCTTTCAGTTTTAGAAAGTTTTTGTTTTCTCTACTCATACCAATTTTTCCCTAGATCCCATACTTTCCTGTGTAGGGTTGGAGTCAGCAGCCACCGATGTCCTTTAAGTGTTATTATTATCCCCATTCTACAGATGAGATAACTGAGGCAAACAGAGGGAGATAAATGAGTTACCTAGGGTCACATAGATGGTAAATGACTGAAGCAAGAGGAATGCTTATAATTAGAATGTGAGCTCCTTGAGGTAAGGCACTATTTTTACTTCATTTTTTCTCCATTTCTTAGGCCAGAGCCTGGAACAAAATAAATGCTTAATAGATGTTTGTCGATGTGTTTGTTGAAGCTAACTGAGCAAAAGAGATGGAGCTGCTTTGATACACATGGAACTGCCTATTACATGTGACATTTGACTCTTAGAGCAGTGTTCCCCAAAGCCCTATCAGAACATTCAAAAATGAAGCCTGACCAAACCAGTCACAAGAAAACTGAACCACTTTTTACTTACGTAAGTAGGAAGAATCAATTTACTAAGCAGTGCCATAATTACACTCACCTCACTAAGCTATTCACCATCCCTCGGTGCACAGTCTGTTCTGGATTATGCTCAACCTGTTTCTAGTCTGTGGTGCCATCTGTCCCAAAGAGTCTCCATGATAGACCCCAATATTTAAGAAAATAAAATCAGCAAGGGCTCTGTCTCAGTAAGCTCAATGGACTGGGAATAAAACGAAATGTTACTTACCTGGAAACTTCAAGGTGTTAGCCTTCTCTCATTATGGCCCCTCTGGCAGTGCTTTTAACCAATGGGGGGGAGGAAGAAGCTACTTACAGCTCTGCAGACCATAGACACTGAAGGAAGAAACTAGGGGACTCATGGGGTGAGTGTTTGCTGATGACATTCTCTAGGCTAGAGAATTCATATTTCCTCACCCAAATCCTTACTTTTCTTTCCTTGCTATTTAGCTATTCTTTCACCTGTATTATCGCCTCATTGTTTTTGTAGTATGGGGGGGGGGGCGGCGCAGGCCAGAAGAAGTGATTGAGTAATTAACTCATACTAACCATTCATTCATTCATTAAGCATTCGTAAAGCATCTACTGGGCCAGGCATAGTAGTAAGCACTGGGGATATGGATACACAAACAAGAGAGACCCTGCCCTCACAGAGTTTATATTCACTTGGAGGAAAACAGGTACACAAATAAGCAAGTACAAAGTATATACAAATATATAAAATGTAATTTTGACTGCTTTAGAAGCTAGAATGTCAATGAATAAATTAATATATGGTATGGGAATGGGGAGAAGTGACTGTCTAGTAACTTCTCATATTTATTATCCATGATAGCCTCTATGTTGTTACAAGGTAACTAGAGAACCAGCAATAGAAGCAGGAGATTATGGGACATATTCACGGGACACTGACTAATTGAGTTTGTTTGGAGAATAATGCAAGGATAAGTAGAGCAATAAATTAATTAATTAATTAATTAATTAATTAATTAATTAATTAATTAAAATAAGACAAGAGAAATAGATGGGAGCCAGCCTGTAGAGGTCTTTAAATGCCAAGTTAAAGAATTTGGATTTTATTCAATAGTCCACAGAAAGCCACTAAATATTTGGGGCCAGCAGAAGAGTGTGATCAGACCTGTGCAAGAGGAAGATTAATATTTTAGCAGTGTAAAATGTACTAGAAGCCAGAAAGCCTGGGAGAAAGGAGATATGTGCATTTTTTTTACTATAATCTAGGTTGAGATAATGAAGACTGGACCCAGGATGGTGACAGTGAGTTTAGTGAGGATGGATACGAGAGAGAAGACATTGATAGAATCAATCAGATTTGACAAAACTCTTAATATAGGTGGGGGAAATGTCAATTAAGAAGCAGGAATCCAAAAACATCCCCAAGGTTAGGATGCTGATGACCAAAAGAATCATCATTCCAACAGGAAAGCCAAGAAGACATTATTGGGTTCTTATTTCTGTGTGTGTGTGTGTGTGTGTGTGTGTGTGTGTGTACAATTATGTGTTAACTTGTGCTTCTTTTGCTAGCCATCATTCTAATTTCCTTATTTATCAACAGCTGGGTAGATTGTTCTCAGTTGATCCAATTTTACTTTTACATCAGAGTTTAAACAGAAGGAAAGGGCAAACTTGATTCTTTAATAAGTCAGCTGTTACAAACCCTTTCTAAGCTAACAGATGTTATCAGGAGGTAGAAAAGGAGCTGTGCTCTGTGGCACGAGAACGCGTGTCTGTGTAGCTTCCATTGCCATTTAATGCTTTTCTTTTATTTCAGATCCTACTAGTCAATATTTTTATTTCTCCTTGGTATCTTGCTAAGTAGCATGGTATTTCATGGTATCCTATTCTTACTAAGTAGCGATGAACTTTATAAAATTTGCAGTACATAATTGTGAAAAGAACACTGAGGAATAGAGTTTCCTGTGTTTGGTGGGATGACAGGGTTTGAAACTGGGTAGAATCATTGGAGCATGGATTTTGATTTGGGATGAAAATTAGAGGTCAACTCTTCCAAACCACTCATTTTACAGATGAGGAAACTGGAGCCCAGAAAGGTGAAATAAATTGCTTATTATTACAGTTAGTAGTAGACATAGGATTTACATTCAAGTCTCTTGACCCTAAACCCAAAATTTTCTATTAGAACATTGCTGACTCCCAGCTATTCCATTTACTAGCTTTGTAAACTTGGCAAATCACTCCCCTTCTCTCAGGTTTGGTTTCTTCACATGTAAAATGAGGAGTTGTGAACAAATAATTCCCTAACATCCCTCTTAGCTTTAAAATTCTGTTATATCTAGGAACCACATCTTTGAAAACAGGCTACTGATAATAAGAATAAGTCACATTTACAAAATACTTTACATTGTAGCACAATAAGGAAGGTGACATGATTATTGTATTTTGCAGATTATATCTGAGATAAGTAAAGTAAATTTTACAAATGAGGAAACTGAGGATCAGAGAGAATAAGTGGCTTCCCTATGGTTATTATCATCATAAGTGATCATGCTGAAGGATGAACAATGGTCTTCAAATGAGATAATGATTACAAAGCACTAAGCATAGTACCTGGCACGTGGTAAGTGGTATATGAACGTAAGCTATTATTATTATTATTCTGACCTAAATTCCAATGCTCTTTCCACTCCACTTTGCTAAAAAGCAGCACGTGGAAAATATCTATTGAAATAATTCTAGCATTGAATGGGAGTGACATGAAACCCGCATCTTTTCCTTCCCCATCACAGAGAGCATTTGTCTAAATAGTGCTCAATAAAAGCTCTTCAACAGTGTAATCTTTGCAATGGAGTTTTTGCAGTTGAAGATAGATCAAATGGAAATGAATTTCTTGCTTTGGCTTCACTTATGGTAATGTTTCACAGGATACCAGTCTGACTCATTCACGTTTCATTCAGGCTGGGGCTCAAGGAGAAAACAAGATGCATTTCATACTTCCAACGATGTGGAGAAAGTGCACACTGAAGGATATAATAGATGAGTACCTTGGGTAACATTTCAACAATCAAATTGCAAGTAAAGGGAGTTAGAGAATGAAAAATAATAAATAATGCCTTGTATGTATTCCAAGCTTTTCATAAACATCAATAAATATCAGTCCTATTCTAACCAGAGGATCTAAACCAACCCAGTCAGTGGAAGTCCCTAAGGCTCTGACCTGGACCCTCTTCCTTTCTCCCTATTTCACTTAGCATTCACATCTGTTCCCATGGATTCCATTCTCATCTCTACGCAGATGATCCTTATATTAGTGTACCCTAATTTCTTTCCTCTCTCATATCTCCAACTGCCTATTGGACACCTTGAATTAGATGTCTCATAGACATCTTATTTCAACACGTCTGGAAATTATGTTTCCCTGAAAGCCTTATCCTCTCCTTAACTTCCTTATCACTGTTGAGGGCACCATCGTCCTCCTAGTTACCCAGGCTCACAACCTAGTTGTCATCCTCAACTCCTCACTCACATTTACCTCCCCATACCCAATTTGTTGCCAAATCCTGTAATTTCTCTTTTTGCATGTGTTCCCTTTTCTCTCCTCATACAGTATGGGCCCTCATAACGTGATGCATGGACTATTGTGATAACGTTTTGATTGGTCTCCTTTCCTCATCTCCTCACTCAACTGTCAAATTGATCTTCCTAAAGCACAGGTGTGATCATATCATCACTACTCCCAATTCAATAAATTCCACTGGCTCTCTATTACTTCCAGAATCAAATATAAAAATTTTCTATCTCTTAAAGCCCTTCATAGCCTGATCAATTCTTACCTTTCCAGGCTTCTTATACTTTAGTTACCTCTTCAAACTCTGCTATCCAGTGACATTAACCTCCTTGCTATTCCTGACATATGACACTCAGTACCCCAACTCCAGGGCATTTTCACTGGCTGTCCCCCATGTCTAGGAGTCCCTCACTCCTTATCTCAGTCTCCTGGTTTCTTTCAAGTTTCAGCTAAAATCTAGCCTTCCATCAAGAAGTCTTTCTCAGTCCTCCTAATCTTAGTGCCTTCCTTCTAAGATTATCTCCAATTTATCCCATGAATATCACCATCATATGTAGTTATTTGCATGTTGTCTCTCCTATTATACAGTAAGCTTCTGGAGAACAGGGACTGCTATTGGTTTCTTTGTTTTTATCTCCCTTTGTATGCTTGGTACATATAGATGCTGAATAAATGCTTATTGACTTCATTTGACCTAAATTTTAAATTGTTTTTAATCAGATAATCAAGTGTGATTCTATTCAATTGTCCTATTAACATCCCATTAATAAAATAGAAATAATACAAGTCAATGTCTTTTCTATACCATAGTACATGTTTAAGAACTAAAGTTTTGAACAAGAAAGCCACTTTTGCCAAATTCAATTTCATTTTTAAAGCACTGTCTTCTGTGACCCCCAGGAAGAGAAAACCGAAGTCTAAAGCTGCATTTAGAATTGGCTGCTACCTCTCAGAACATGTGAAATTGGGGGACTATTCTATTTTTTGTTAGTAAATAAAATACTCATAAAAATAATTTCTCCTTTTTATATGACACCTTTCTCCAAGTAACTCAGAGCCAAACATTCACTGTGACCAATTGTCCCTGAAATGGCTCCCCCATGTATAATACAGCGAGGTATTTAAATTTATAAATTCATCAGTAAACAACCTCAAACAGATCTCCAAGTAGAAGCTGCGATTTGATCCTCTAGTCTTGGGAATAATGAAAACACTTTTGTGTAGAAATCCATTGTTAAAAAAGAGATATTTAATTGCTTCATATACCTTTTATGAAACATAGACCTTGGGATGGTGACCTACATGCTATAGATTAGTGACTCAGCCCTAATCCCAAGGATTTACTTTTTAGTGTGAGAGTAGAGAATTAGAGGAAACCTGGCACAGTGAGTAGAATTCTGACTTTGGATTCAAGAAGACACAGGTTCACATCCCACCCATTTACTAGCTATGTGACCCTGAGCTTGCC